GGTTTCCTATCACACCTGGGCTAAAATTCAAAGTCCTTGCCATGAACAAAGTGAACTACCAAGCAAAACAGAGGCAGACTCATGGATAAAGAACAGGCAAACAGCTCTGGTAGAGGGTGTTGGGGAGAGGCGTTGAGAAAAAAAAGAGAGAGAGAGAACACTCATAGATATGGACAAAAGTATGGTACATGGCCTGGCTTCTGGTTCTCTCTCAGACCTCACTGCCAGGCTAGGTATTTTTGTACCTGCTATTCCCTCTGCTTTAAACACCCTCCACAGGCCTTCACTTCACATGGTCTTCTGTTTACATGTCACCGCATAAAGGTCTTTCCTACCAACTCCATCCAAAGCACTTTCTGCCATTCCTTCCATTTGCGCTTTATCTCCTTCCTTTCTTTATTTCCCTCTATAGTTGTAATTAGTGCTGGCCTCACATTATAGGTATTTATGCATTTGTTTTTTGATATGTCTTCCCCACTAGATTGTAAGCTCCATGCATTTAGGGAATGCATCTTATTTACACATAGCTATATCCTACATTCCTAAAACTGCCTGCATTTAGGAGGCTCTCAATAAATAGCTGTCAAACAACTGAATTAAATAACTAAACAAGATACAAATATGCATAACATATGGTCTATCTCCTTAAGGGGTTTACACTCTTTTATGGTAGAAGAAACACTGACAACTATTATAATATACTAGAGGCCCGGTGCATAAAATTCATGCACTCGGGGTGGAGGGTCCCTCAACCCGGCCTGCGCCCTCTCGCAGTCCAGGCGGGGAGCAGGCCTAAGCCATCAGTCGAACATCCTTAGCACTGCCGTGGAGGCAGGAGAGGCTCCTGTCACTGCCGCTGCGCTCACCAGCCACGAACCCAGCTCAGGGCTTCTGGCTGAGCGGTGCTCCCAGAAGTGCACTAACCACCAGGGGGCAGCTCCTGTGTTGAGTGTCTGCCCCCTGGCGGTCAGTGCACGACATAGTGACCAGTTGTTCTGCCGTTTGGTCGATTTGCATATTAGACTTTTATTATATAAGATATTATTGCCTCACTCACTTTAAATTTTGAAGTGATTGCTAAAATGAGTTTAGTTTTTATCTTCATCCAAGAATTAATTGTTAGATTAAAAAAGCCCTTTCTGTACACTCATTAAATTGAGAACAGAGGTAACAACAGTGTTCATCTAGTAGTCTCTGGTTTGTTGGTCCCTCATAGTCAAACTATGTCTTATGCATCAGGAGATACATGCTTAATTGCAATTGGAATGTGACTAACAAATATTTCATTTGACAGATCTACTCAGACAAGGCTAATATGCAGTTGTAATTCAGTTGCATTGCTTTTCTATTCATTTAATCATCTAAACAGGTGAATGAGAAGCTCCGAGTCATAATCTTGTCTGGTACAGAGATGCTGAGGAGGGGGAGGGAGAAGGAAGTGGTTGTAGGAAATGACTCCACTGAGAGCATGAGGCTCACATTCCTGAAAACTAGTTGGTGACACAACTCCACCTTTCATTTATACAAAGGAATGAGACAGATCTCCTTCCCATCTGTATAAAACCCACAAGCTTACTGTGATGCATTAGAGAAAGAACAACAACTAGCAAAGAAAAAAGTGAAAGTATCAGATTGAGAAAACACCATCTTTCCTAAACTGTAAGGCTTTTGAATGTTTCCATTCGACTGTAGCTGCTTTTACAGTTACAGTGGGGCCTTGACTTAGGAGTTTAATTCATTCCGAGACTGAGCTCATTAAGGAGCTCGTTAAGGAGCTCATTAACTCAAATTACTCTATCAACTCAATGCAAAAAATCGGCCGAGAGACAGCTGGTATCTCAAAAAACTCGTTAGTTGGACACTCGTAAGTCAAGGCCCCACTGTAATCCCAACTAGATCAATAAATGGCTTTCAATGCTTGTTTTCCTCAGGACATCTGGCTAGTCCTGATGATCAAACAGCAGGACTTATACCTGCTAATTATGCCAAAATTCTTGGTAAAAAAAAAAAAGGTAGAAAAACACTGGAATCCATTATGATTTCCAAAGCAGCAACAATCTTTGACTCACACAACACTAATTAAAGGAGCCACAGCTGCTGATTCTTTGGAAGCTGCCTTTGAATCCATTTTTGTTGCAATTAGTAAGGTTCCAGTTGCACCTGATGCCAATAGGAAACATGGAGATAAAATCTTTGATATCTTTCATGTTTGCTTGCACTTGAACTATAGAGATTTTTAAAAAAAAATTAGAAATAACTTCGTACAAAGAAATTATTCTACAATCCAATGAATACATTTATTAATCGCTACTCCAGGTGTTTTGCTGCTAGAAATTGTTAAAGTTGTATGCTAGTACATTGGCCCAGTGACCTGGTTATATTTTACAAATTATTGGACACAAAAATGTTTGTTTCACCTAGATTTTAAGATTATGAAAACTGGTATATTTTCATTTTATTTAAAATCCTATGTTTATTGAAAGAGTAAGAGTGATGAACTACAAGATATACTATTTACTACAGTAGAAATTATTAATGCTTTTTAAAATTCTATATTAAATCCTCAGAAATTGAGTGCTAACATATGAGAACAGGAAAAAAGGCTAACTTTTTACAACTTTAATTGTATTAAATAATAAGAATTTTCTGATCACACACACAATTTCTTTTCATGAGGAGCAAATATACCAATTCATGGTCAATAACACAATTTTTGTAAAGGGTCATAGTCAAACCCATTCATTTTTTAATAAAAGCCTTCCAAATTAAGGCAGTAAACAAAATGATTGCTTAGTTAATGTTTTACACCATCAATATATCTTAATTTCTGACAGATCTCTCACACACAGACAACACCTATACCAGGGAACGCATAATCCTGGCTCCATCACTCACTAGCTATGTGGCCTTGTTAGCTCCCTCTGCTTCAGTTTTCTCGTCTATAAAATGGGTGTTATTATTATCTACCTCAGAGGGATGTTTTCCGGAACACATAAATAAGACATATTGCCTGGCACGTAATGAGTACAGTCAAACCTTGATTCTCAAATGTCTCCCATCTTGAACAATTCAGTTCTCAACCAAGTTGTTCACGGAAAACATGTCTCCATTTGGAACACAACTTCAGTTCTTGACCTGACAACCCTTTCATGCCAATGTTATCAAAAAGCTTCTCTCAGGTCACAAATAAAGGAGAGAATGTGTATCAGTTTACTGCTAAATCTTATGTTGTTAACATCTCAGAAAATTGTGCTATGAATATTTTTTTTCTTTCGTTGCTGGTGAAATGGATGATTAGCACAATTTTGAAACATAAAAAGGCCATCAAGGGTGCTGATATTGCTAAGGGTATGAAAGTGCTTACCAAACAAAGATCACAGGCAATGGAAGAAATAGAAAAACTGTTGATTTGTATAAACAAAAAGCAGTTAGCTGGTGGCAGTATTTCAGAGGCAATGACATGTGAACAAGTGAAGCTGCTGCACCCTTGGAACGAATGCAGAAAGTGATTTAAGGCCAGTAGGGAGTCGTTCAATAAATTTAAGAAAAGAAGTGTTTGTTTATAGATTAAATGCTACATTAGACATGTTCTGTATATAAGAAAGGTTGAAGCAGGGAATGATTTGGGGATCTGGAACGGATTAATTCAATTTACTTCATTTCTAACGGGGAAAAATGATTTGGTTTTTGAATAAACCGTGTCTCAAACAGCCTTCCAGAATGAATTAAGTTCGAGAACCAAGGTTCCACTGTACTGAGCAAATACAAAGCATTACATTTATCCACTTTGTATTGAGAATTTGCTACTTCCTCTTGATAACCATACTCCCTACTTCTGCCTTTTAGTACCAGAGCTGCCTACTATTAACAGGTTTGCGCAGCCAAAAACCACATGTGCCAGTCCCACCTGGACACGTCTAAGTTCTGGTCCGTGGGTGCGGGCAGGAATGATGTGTGCACCCCCCTGAAAGGCAGAGGCTTGCCCTCCAGGCTCTTCTCCCGCTTGTGCGAGCCTGGTTATGCAGTGGTGACGCTCAGGGGATAGAGCAGCACTGAGAGAAGGTCTCCCGGCACCTTTGCCCTCCCCGGATCTGTCACCTGCTAGGCCTTCTGTATTTGAAAAAATAAACTTCTCACACTGTGTAAACTATAATTTTTTTGATTTCTGTTAAAGTGGCTACATCAATACACTAACTAATGCTTAGACATTTACTCATTTTTCAACTATAAAAGTTTATAGCAAGGCATCTTGATATTTACAGCCATTCTCTTCCATATTGATTCGTTATTTGATGTCAAGTACTAGTGAGGGACAGACCATTTCCTCTTGCTCTGATTTTAACACTCACAGATGGGGAAACGAGGCAGGAAAGATAAAACAAGGCCTAATCATCTGGGCAATCTGCAGCCAGCTTGTAATTAACATCTTCCCCAGCAAGGACACAGAGCAAATGGTTAAAGAAAAACTCTCTAATGAGAGAATGCAGAGAGGGAGGGGGAAAGGGGAAAGGAAAAAAGGGCAGTTTTACTCCCTAGGCCGAGAAGCCAGCAGTCTCAAGGCTTGGCAAGATAAAGTTGCCAGGTGCTTTCATGAATTCTGGGGAGGCCACAACAAAGTAAAAAAAGGGGGGGGGGGGGGGGACCTTGAGAATGAATCTGTACCAAAATAGTCAGCGGAGGAATTTTGAGACCTGTAGACAGGAGGGTATATAACACCTCAGACCACCACCCAACTTGCTCTTCAGATTAGCTGAGAGCCCTTCTGTGCTTCATAAGCCATATGTATAGGTTTGCTTTGCTTTTTCAATAAAGGTGCATGCTTTAATTGCTTTAATAAATTGGCTTTTCACAATGCAGTCAAGGTCTCTCATATAAATTCATTTATATGAGAAGACAAGGATCAAGGTTGGGGATGGCCCTCTCTCACGGGTCACGGGGCTGTCCTGAACGGGAACAGCTCTCGGGTGTTGGCGAGAGGTGCCTATAACACATCCACCTACCAGCCTTAGGTAGTTCTGCAGCATCTGAAGAGGGATCATAGATGTGTACGTCACACTACTGAGGCAGCCTTCCTGAGGACCTGCAAGAAGGAAAAATACAGAAGAACACTGGCTCTGGTTGCCGGATTCAATATTTTACTGTTTATAAGCAAATGTTAGCAGAGCTTAGTTCCAATCCTCGGAAAGTTCTAGCCTTGCCCGGCATTAATGCACAGGTCTGGGGTCTCCCTTATTTTTCATTTTTTAAAATATATTTTTATTGATTTCAGAGAGAGAGATAGAAACATCAATAATGAGAGAAAATCATTGATCAGCTGCCTCCTGCATGCCCAACACGTAGGATCAAGCCTGCAACCCGGGCATGTGCTCTGACCGGGAATTGAACCATGACCTCCTGGTTCATAGGTCGATGCTCAACCACTGAGCCATGCTGACCAGACTGGGGTCTCCCTTTAGGTCTCTTCTCTAACTCCCTCCCTCCAAACCGCCCCCCCCGCCCCGTAAGTTCTGCTCTTCTCTCAATACACTGCTTGAGCTCAAAGGGATTTTCTAGGATGGTCTCACACTTTTTTTAAAACCTCAATAAGTATAGTTAAAACAACAAAATCAAATTTTATTACTTGAAATTGTAAAGACTCCATTCCCAAGTCTAGGAAGTACATGATGGTATCTATAGCCTTCAATTTCCTTGTATATAAAAATGAGGATAAACAGAAATATGTATCCCCTTGGGTTGTTATAAGGGTTTAGTGAATTTATACTTTTAATGTGCCATACACAACAGGGCTTAACACATAGTAGGTACTCACTACACATTAATTTGTACCATTATAATGATCATATTAATCATACACTGTACTTGACAGTAACAAACTTCTTTTAACTTTCTGTCACTCTCTTATCAGTACACCAGTTTGGCCTCTGGTTTATTCCTAATGAGATGCAATCAAAATCATAGGAATCAACAATCAAGACATCACCACCGGTGTCAACAACTTGGCTTTTGATTTTTCCTCTCCTTGTTCCAAGAACACTGATTAGTTAGCAGTGGGAGTCATATACGCATGGCTAGAGAATGCAGGACAAAAACATGCAGGCTTAAGAACTGGTACTTCGAAACAATCATAAACAAACGCTCAGTCAATGTTATCTCAGTTTAGAATATCTTTACCTGACAAAAGCACAGTGACTTGCTCTGCTTTATTCTTTTTCATGAAGTCCCACAGGGGCAGGGTGTGGCTCTGACCCACTGACCATGGCACATCTCCTAGTTCAAAAAAATGAAAATGTCAGAAGATGAAAAGGAATTTTTCTTATAAGGGTTGATGAATGATCTCCTCTGTGAGAACTCTAAGGAATCCAAAGGCATGTACAGAATTTGTGAATGGTCACAGGGAGTGAACTTTTGTTGAAGGTCAAGAGGAAGACCTTCAAACTACAGTCTTCTCCAAAGCTGTCCTAAGAAGGGACTTTCGTAGTTCTTCCAGTGCCTGCTTCATAAAGGCCACGCACTCTAAACCTGGTCCCGGCCTCCCTCTCCAGCAAATCTTTAGATTCCAGAAAGCACACACACATAACCTCAGGTGCTCAGATAAGACAAACCTTCCCACAGTCTGGCTCCTCTTGAGAACTTGTTTTCCTCTCTTCCCTTCCACAGATCAATTCCTAGATACCCATTCTCAGCATGTCCTAACATACAGGTGCCTACCCCACCTGTAACTTCCTGTTATCTGTTGGCCTGGGTCCTTTTAATCTAGCTTGGGTTATCAACACAGTAAAATCCCATATATGCATATATTAATAACAATAATAGTGTAGTTACTAATTATAAGTGGTTACAGCCAGGTGCTAAATGAAGCCCAGCACCCACAAAAATCAATGGTTTTAGACCTGGAATTCTACTGGAGTACCTCACCCTCATTGATGAGTATGAACAGAAACCATGGCTCAGAGGTAAATCTATCCACTGGTTGTGAATACCCAGTTGCCTTTGTCAGTTTCCAGATTAACTGGATGAAGGCTGATGTAGGGGCCCATTACCTTCAAAACATGGCTGTGCTGACTTCATTTATTAGACCCCTAAGGCTAACCTACCCCTTGAATAACACTCCGTTTAATGGGCAAAATGTGACCCAGAGAATCATTTCTGATTTCTTTTCTCAATGCAATTATTTAACTATATGTATTTTGTGATAATTATGGTAATTTTAATAAAAATTATTGCCAAAGAGCCATAAAATGCCAAAGAGCCATAAAATGAAGTTGTGAATAATTTGCTTTATTTATTCTTTATATATTTTTATTGACTTCAGAGAGGGAGAGGTACAGAGATAGAAACATCAGTGATGAGAGAGACTCACTGATTGGCTGCCTCCTGCACGCCCACACTGGGGATCGAGCCCTGGCTGTGCCCTGACCGGGAATTGAACGTGACCTCCTGGTTCATAGGCTGACGCTCAACCACTGAGCCATGCTGGCATGGCTGTGAATAATTTACTTTAAAATCTAGCAGTAATATATGTTTTGAAAGTGAATTAGCATTTGTGAGTGAACTGACAAAGACACTTTTTACTATAACAAGCCTACACATTAATAGCATGGTGAAAAGCACCCTTCCCTCAAACTGGACCATGCTTTTGCAACATGGTGCTGTTGAAAGTGTACAGGCTTTCCTACCAGGTCGACTGGGGTTTGAGTCCTGCCTCATTCACTCGTTAGCTGTGCCTTCAGGAAGGTCATCATGTAACTTGTCTAGCTATCTGTACACTGAGCCTGCTGCAGGGATCCACTGAGGTGCTGCTATAAAGCGCCCGGCACAGTTTTGGCATAGTGGCAGCAGGTTCCTGCAGATGTTTGTTCTCCTGGTTTAAGAGAAAAGAAACTAACCAGGGATAACTAGCCTTTACAAAGCCCTTATTATGCTCACGAGAAAGCAAATGTTATTTTCAGAAGGTCCTCAGAGGCTATTTCATGGAGCCTATTGAACAGGAATAACCAGTTATCATCCTGATTCATCCCATGTGGGAGCTTTGAATATATCTTCATTAAAATGCTTTTTCCAATTCTAGACTTCATTAAGACTCCTGTCCTTGGAGGTAAGGTGTTAATGGATTACAGATATCCTGGAATAGCCCAAGTACAAATTTGGAGCGGTGTTCAGAACCTGTGCATTAGCAAGCAGCTGTAATGTGGTTAGTTTCATGCATTTATCTAGAAGAGCAAGTGCAATCACAATACCACACCGAGGGCTTTCATGTTCTTTACTCTCTGAGTATCATCTGAGGCATAAAAGCATTTTTATACTAATGTTATGTAATGGCTGCATTGTGAATACTCAAGTGTCAGCACCAGCAGCTGCCACAAGTGAGTTTTTAATGTGTTTAATCAGTAAACTAAGTCTCAGGTTATGAAGCCCATAAACATAAATGAACCTGAAAATCTAACTTTCCCTTCATTGCAAGATTGTTGATACCTAGCATGATGGATTGCACACTGCTTGCACTGAGGCCGATGCTGGAGCTAGTGGTGTTATTGTCCGTCACATCTTCCAGACTCCACCATCCATCAGAAGAGATGGCTTTGAAATGACTTGTCAGAGCTCGACTCACTGCTTTTGAAAAATCATCCCAGGATGTCTGTTTGCGGATACTTAGAGCACCTATTGTATTTTCACATTCAAAGTCATCGGAACCATAGTTGCCTGGTTGAATCTCACCCACTGAAATCCTTAAGGGTATTTTAAGAGCATCTGTTAGAAGAATAAGGGAATTAGAAATTTAAAAAATTCTGATAGAAAAACAGCAAAATGATTCTATGAAATAAGCAAATCTGAACATTTTATAAGCAAACAGAAGGGCAGCTTCAATACTTCTTTAAATAACATTAATTCAATGTTCTTAATACTGGAGTACACTTTGGTCTTTCATCTATATCTTGACGCTTTCTTTGGAACCAGGTTGCTTGAACTGATTATCTTTCCTTGTATCTTTGGCCTTTTCTACTTCATTGATTCTTTCCCTTCAGCAAGATTCTCAAGTTCTTTAAAAAAAAATCTGAGAAAATTAGGGCCCTCTCTGGACCCTGAATTCTCTGTATTGTCCATTCTCTTCACCTTCATTGAGGCAGGTTATAGAAACATAAACAACATGTATATAAAAGAAACTACAGCGTGAGTCTACAGGGGCATAGCAGGGCTGTTGAGGACAGGACATTGAGGGTACCACTATTCATAGGGTTGCCAGGAGTAGGGGCCGACCCAATGGCATGTAACATACACATAGTTCTATAGGTCAGTGTGCTTAGGATAGTGGCTTCAGTCATACAACCTTGTTCTCAGCCTCAAGGTAGCCTTCTATTAGCTTGGAGAGCTTACCTTGATCTCTCTATACCCCAATTTCTTCTATAAAATGGAAGGGAAGTACAATCAAGGTGTGTACATTTTAAATGAATTTAACATACAATTACATGGTAAGTACTAGTAAGAATTTGATAAATGGCATACAGTGCTTCTAAAATGATCTTTCTAATCTCTCTATGACACCAACTGATTGAGGTCCCACCTAGGTGGGCAGCACTCCCTGCATTTCCATCCTTACAAACTGAATTATATGCTTAGTCACATGTGATTATTCCCAAATCCACTCTGTCTGCTAACAAATATGCTTAAGTCCTCAAACACTAGAAATCATACGTGAAGCATGAAAGGTGTGGTCTGTTCAAACAAGAATAGTATGTGGAACTTCAATCGTAGAAATACACTAAAATGTGGAAACCAAGATGGCGTATTCCCAAAACTCTGTCTGCTAACAAATATGCTTAAGTCCTCAAACACTAGAAATCATACGTGAAGCATGAAAGGTGTGGTCTGTTCAAACAAGAATAGTATGTGGAACTTCAATCGTAGAAATACACTAAAATGTGGAAACCAAGATGGCAGCATAGGTAAACACCGGAAATTGCTGCCTCACACAACCACTTCAAAAATACAACAAAAAGACAAAACCCACATCATCTACAACCACAGGAAGGCCGGCTCAGTGGAAATTCTACAACTAGAAGGAAAGAGAAAAGCACACTGAGACTCAGAAGAGGTGCGGTGTGGAAGTAAAGTGCAGAGGTACGAAGGTGCACGCGGAAAGGGCTGGCAGCTGAGGACTCGGCTGTCTTTTTCAATCGGGAGGGAGTCTCGAGCTCCTGACTGCTCTGAACTCCAGTTCCGGGCGAGTCTCTGGGGACCCAGACTCATACGGGGAGAAACTGGACTGTCTGGCATCAGTCAGAACTCGAGGGCGGCTTTCTCTCAGAGGTACTTGCAGCGATTACCAGGACACTGAGAAGTGGGGCCTCTTAGGGCAGGGCTGAGGAG